AGGTGGAGTAGGTGGTGGGGGACATTGTGAGTACTTAAAAGAAAAAGATAAACTGACAATAAAAGCAACGGAACGCCACATAAACTTTTCTTCCCTTCGATTCCGGCCCCTCCTTTTAATACGTACTGTAGAAGGTGATAAACTAAAAGTAGTTTTTCCGGGTGTTGAGCATTAAAAAGAGAAACCAAACCTTACTTTCTAAATTCATCCTCGGGGTAGGTTATCTTGTGCATTAACTCTTCATCGCCTTTTCTGTTTATTTTCGTCTCCGTCAATGGAGGAAATGCCTGAACCACTGGAAACCACAAAGGTTCTGATATGGCCCCAGCACGAAGAAGGTTACTGACACTGAAAAAGAAGAAAGAAATAATAAATAATCATAGAAAGCACCTCATAATGCTAGCTGCAAAATCACAGTATTACCGTGAGAGGACAGTGCCTCGCAAATGTCTCGATCCCGCCATATTTCAGCCAGTCATGTGTGCCGCCATCTTGGATCCACGCACTTTTGAAGCAATCCGCTGAACAGACATACTGCGATATCACGGGAGCGGGGATTTGGGAACGCCCAGCAGGTCGAATAAAAATAATGGAAAAATAAATTTTGGAAAAAGGAAACAAAATTTATGCTGGAACGACAGCTGCTGATGTTCATAAATTTATTTCGTACAACAGTATGAGACCATTTGTATTCAGTATTTACTTGAGTTTTACCATTTTCAAGTTTTTTATTTTTCTGTTGACTTTTTTCAGTTTGCCATTTTGTCAGGTCAACAAGACGTCACCACCTTGCAAAATTGTTCATCTATCAAATTGGGGTTTATTTAGGTTGGCATAGGACATATGTATTGCAAGGCCATAGCCAGACTCAAATTCTTACTGAAGCAATATAAAAAAAAAACGCTTCCTTTATATAATTTTTTATTGATTGATTTATCTTCTTTTTATGCATAGCCTCTCTTACAGGGACTTGAAATGAATAAATTTATTAGAACATTTTAGTGCCTCAGTTCACCTGGCACTAGCTACTAACAGCCCTGAGCATCGGCATTGACCAAGGCTGGTCTTAGATGTCTCAATGCATGTTGCAGAGGGGAAAGAATCTGTCTACTGAGACACATTCCAGATTATTGATTGATTGATATCAATTAAACATTTACTATTAGTCACAAAAGGGCCAAATCCAGACTTACACGAAATATGCAGAAAAAGTACCAGAAGAGAAAATTTTATCCCTTTAATTTGAAAGTTAGTTCTTTTACCCCAAAAGGATTAGAGCTCTTCTTTGGATCTAGACTGCTGGCACTCTGTTTCCTCTCAGAATCAGGCAGGAATTATGAGGCGAGATGTTTCAGACTAGAGGGTATTGAGATGAAACCTGGTTGTGGCACGCCCAACCCCTTCTTGTCCATACTGCCCTTTTGCATTCATGTGTAATGTGTAATATAAAGTCTGCAATTTCAAATGGTGCACAGCCACACAACCTTGACCTATTGCACAAACCATTGTTACAAAAACTTTGATCCTAAATTAGGTACATTTCATATGACATTAAGTTCAAATTATGTAGATGGTCTGTTTATAGTTCTGTAGCTTTGGGACGACATTTCCGCACACGTTGCACACCTATGATGATATAAAGTCTACAATTTCAAATGGTGCACAGCCACACAACCTTGACCTATTGCACAAACCATTGTTACAAAAACTTTGATCCTAAATTAGGTACATTTCATATGACATTAAGTTCAAATTATGTAGATGGTCTGTTTATAGTTCTGTAGCTTTGGGACGACATTTCCGCACACGTTGCACACCTATGATGATATAAAGTCTACAATTTCAAATGGTGCACAGCCACACAACCTTGACCTATTGCACAAACCATTGTTACAAAAACTTTGATCCTAAATTAGGTACATTTCATATGACATTAAGTTCAAATTATGTAGATGGTCTGTTTATAGTTCTGTAGCTTTGGGACGACATTTCCGCACACGTTGCACACCTATGATGATATAAAGTCTACAATTTCAAATGGTGCACAGCCACACAACCTTGACCTATTGCACAAACCATTGTTACAAAAACTTTGATCCTAAATTAGGTACATTTCATATGACATTAAGTTCAAATTATGTAGATGGTCTGTTTATAGTTCTGTAGCTTTGGGACGACATTTCCGCACACGTTGCACACCTATGATGATATAAAGTCTACAATTTCAAATGGTGCACAGCCACACAACCTTGACCTATTGCACAAACCATTGTTACAAAAACTTTGATCCTAAATTAGGTACATTTCATATGACATTAAGTTCAAATTATGTAGATGGTCTGTTTATAGTTCTGTAGCTTTGGGACGACATTTCCGCACACGTTGCACACCTATGATGATATAAAGTCTACAATTTCAAATGGTGCACAGCCACACAACCTTGACCTATTGCACAAACCATTGTTACAAAAACTTTGATCCTAAATTAGGTACATTTCATATGACATTAAGTTCAAATTATGTAGATGGTCTGTTTATAGTTCTGTAGCTTTGGGACGACATTTCCGCACACGTTGCACACCTATGATGATATAAAGTCTACAATTTCAAATGGTGCACAGCCACACAACCTTGACCTATTGCACAAACCATTGTTACAAAAACTTTGATCCTAAATTAGGTACATTTCATATGACATTAAGTTCAAATTATGTAGATGGTCTGTTTATAGTTCTGTAGCTTTGGGACGACATTTCCGCACACGTTGCACACCTATGATGATATAAAGTCTACAATTTCAAATGGTGCACAGCCACACAACCTTGACCTATTGCACAAACCATTGTTACAAAAACTTTGATCCTAAATTAGGTACATTTCATATGACATTAAGTTCAAATTATGTAGATGGTCTGTTTATAGTTCTGTAGCTTTGGGACGACATTTCCGCACACGTTGCACACCTATGATGATATAAAGTCTACAATTTCAAATGGTGCACAGCCACACAACCTTGACCTATTGCACAAACCATTGTTACAAAAACTTTGATCCTAAATTAGGTACATTTCATATGACATTAAGTTCAAATTATGTAGATGGTCTGTTTATAGTTCTGTAGCTTTGGGACGACATTTCCGCACACGTTGCACACCTATGATGATATAAAGTCTACAATTTCAAATGGTGCACAGCCACACAACCTTGACCTATTGCACAAACCATTGTTACAAAAACTTTGATCCTAAATTAGGTACATTTCATATGACATTAAGTTCAAATTATGTAGATGGTCTGTTTATAGTTCTGTAGCTTTGGGACGACATTTCCGCACACGTTGCACACCTATGATGATATAAAGTCTACAATTTCAAATGGTGCACAGCCACACAACCTTGACCTATTGCACAAACCATTGTTACAAAAACTTTGATCCTAAATTAGGTACATTTCATATGACATTAAGTTCAAATTATGTAGATGGTCTGTTTATAGTTCTGTAGCTTTGGGACGACATTTCCGCACACGTTGCACACCTATGATGATATAAAGTCTACAATTTCAAATGGTGCACAGCCACACAACCTTGACCTATTGCACAAACCATTGTTACAAAAACTTTGATCCTAAATTAGGTACATTTCATATGACATTAAGTTCAAATTATGTAGATGGTCTGTTTATAGTTCTGTAGCTTTGGGACGACATTTCCGCACACGTTGCACACCTATGATGATATAAAGTCTACAATTTCAAATGGTGCACAGCCACACAACCTTGACCTATTGCACAAACCATTGTTACAAAAACTTTGATCCTAAATTAGGTACATTTCATATGACATTAAGTTCAAATTATGTAGATGGTCTGTTTATAGTTCTGTAGCTTTGGGACGACATTTCCGCACACGTTGCACACCTATGATGATATAAAGTCTACAATTTCAAATGGTGCACAGCCACACAACCTTGACCTATTGCACAAACCATTGTTACAAAAACTTTGATCCTAAATTAGGTACATTTCATATGACATTAAGTTCAAATTATGTAGATGGTCTGTTTATAGTTCTGTAGCTTTGGGACGACATTTCCGCACACGTTGCACACCTATGATGATATAAAGTCTACAATTTCAAATGGTGCACAGCCACACAACCTTGACCTATTGCACAAACCATTGTTACAAAAACTTTGATCCTAAATTAGGTACATTTCATATGACATTAAGTTCAAATTATGTAGATGGTCTGTTTATAGTTCTGTAGCTTTGGGACGACATTTCCGCACACGTTGCACACCTATGATGATATAAAGTCTACAATTTCAAATGGTGCACAGCCACACAACCTTGACCTATTGCACAAACCATTGTTACAAAAACTTTGATCCTAAATTAGGTACATTTCATATGACATTAAGTTCAAATTATGTAGATGGTCTGTTTATAGTTCTGTAGCTTTGGGACGACATTTCCGCACACGTTGCACACCTATGATGATATAAAGTCTACAATTTCAAATGGTGCACAGCCACACAACCTTGACCTATTGCACAAACCATTGTTACAAAAACTTTGATCCTAAATTAGGTACATTTCATATGACATTAAGTTCAAATTATGTAGATGGTCTGTTTATAGTTCTGTAGCTTTGGGACGACATTTCCGCACACGTTGCACACCTATGATGATATAAAGTCTACAATTTCAAATGGTGCACAGCCACACAACCTTGACCTATTGCACAAACCATTGTTACAAAAACTTTGATCCTAAATTAGGTACATTTCATATGACATTAAGTTCAAATTATGTAGATGGTCTGTTTATAGTTCTGTAGCTTTGGGACGACATTTCCGCACACGTTGCACACCTATGATGATATAAAGTCTACAATTTCAAATGGTGCACAGCCACACAACCTTGACCTATTGCACAAACCATTGTTACAAAAACTTTGATCCTAAATTAGGTACATTTCATATGACATTAAGTTCAAATTATGTAGATGGTCTGTTTATAGTTCTGTAGCTTTGGGACGACATTTCCGCACACGTTGCACACCTATGATGATATAAAGTCTACAATTTCAAATGGTGCACAGCCACACAACCTTGACCTATTGCACAAACCATTGTTACAAAAACTTTGATCCTAAATTAGGTACATTTCATATGACATTAAGTTCAAATTATGTAGATGGTCTGTTTATAGTTCTGTAGCTTTGGGACGACATTTCCGCACACGTTGCACACCTATGATGATATAAAGTCTACAATTTCAAATGGTGCACAGCCACACAACCTTGACCTATTGCACAAACCATTGTTACAAAAACTTTGATCCTAAATTAGGTACATTTCATATGACATTAAGTTCAAATTATGTAGATGGTCTGTTTATAGTTCTGTAGCTTTGGGACGACATTTCCGCACACGTTGCACACCTATGATGATATAAAGTCTACAATTTCAAATGGTGCACAGCCACACAACCTTGACCTATTGCACAAACCATTGTTACAAAAACTTTGATCCTAAATTAGGTACATTTCATATGACATTAAGTTCAAATTATGTAGATGGTCTGTTTATAGTTCTGTAGCTTTGGGACGACATTTCCGCACACGTTGCACACCTATGATGATATAAAGTCTACAATTTCAAATGGTGCACAGCCACACAACCTTGACCTATTGCACAAACCATTGTTACAAAAACTTTGATCCTAAATTAGGTACATTTCATATGACATTAAGTTCAAATTATGTAGATGGTCTGTTTATAGTTCTGTAGCTTTGGGACGACATTTCCGCACACGTTGCACACCTATGATGATATAAAGTCTACAATTTCAAATGGTGCACAGCCACACAACCTTGACCTATTGCACAAACCATTGTTACAAAAACTTTGATCCTAAATTAGGTACATTTCATATGACATTAAGTTCAAATTATGTAGATGGTCTGTTTATAGTTCTGTAGCTTTGGGACGACATTTCCGCACACGTTGCACACCTATGATGATATAAAGTCTACAATTTCAAATGGTGCACAGCCACACAACCTTGACCTATTGCACAAACCATTGTTACAAAAACTTTGATCCTAAATTAGGTACATTTCATATGACATTAAGTTCAAATTATGTAGATGGTCTGTTTATAGTTCTGTAGCTTTGGGACGACATTTCCGCACACGTTGCACACCTATGATGATATAAAGTCTACAATTTCAAATGGTGCACAGCCACACAACCTTGACCTATTGCACAAACCATTGTTACAAAAACTTTGATCCTAAATTAGGTACATTTCATATGACATTAAGTTCAAATTATGTAGATGGTCTGTTTATAGTTCTGTAGCTTTGGGACGACATTTCCGCACACGTTGCACACCTATGATGATATAAAGTCTACAATTTCAAATGGTGCACAGCCACACAACCTTGACCTATTGCACAAACCATTGTTACAAAAACTTTGATCCTAAATTAGGTACATTTCATATGACATTAAGTTCAAATTATGTAGATGGTCTGTTTATAGTTCTGTAGCTTTGGGACGACATTTCCGCACACGTTGCACACCTATGATGATATAAAGTCTACAATTTCAAATGGTGCACAGCCACACAACCTTGACCTATTGCACAAACCATTGTTACAAAAACTTTGATCCTAAATTAGGTACATTTCATATGACATTAAGTTCAAATTATGTAGATGGTCTGTTTATAGTTCTGTAGCTTTGGGACGACATTTCCGCACACGTTGCACACCTATGATGATATAAAGTCTACAATTTCAAATGGTGCACAGCCACACAACCTTGACCTATTGCACAAACCATTGTTACAAAAACTTTGATCCTAAATTAGGTACATTTCATATGACATTAAGTTCAAATTATGTAGATGGTCTGTTTATAGTTCTGTAGCTTTGGGACGACATTTCCGCACACGTTGCACACCTATGATGATATAAAGTCTACAATTTCAAATGGTGCACAGCCACACAACCTTGACCTATTGCACAAACCATTGTTACAAAAACTTTGATCCTAAATTAGGTACATTTCATATGACATTAAGTTCAAATTATGTAGATGGTCTGTTTATAGTTCTGTAGCTTTGGGACGACATTTCCGCACACGTTGCACACCTATGATGATATAAAGTCTACAATTTCAAATGGTGCACAGCCACACAACCTTGACCTATTGCACAAACCATTGTTACAAAAACTTTGATCCTAAATTAGGTACATTTCATATGACATTAAGTTCAAATTATGTAGATGGTCTGTTTATAGTTCTGTAGCTTTGGGACGACATTTCCGCACACGTTGCACACCTATGATGATATAAAGTCTACAATTTCAAATGGTGCACAGCCACACAACCTTGACCTATTGCACAAACCATTGTTACAAAAACTTTGATCCTAAATTAGGTACATTTCATATGACATTAAGTTCAAATTATGTAGATGGTCTGTTTATAGTTCTGTAGCTTTGGGACGACATTTCCGCACACGTTGCACACCTATGATGATATAAAGTCTACAATTTCAAATGGTGCACAGCCACACAACCTTGACCTATTGCACAAACCATTGTTACAAAAACTTTGATCCTAAATTAGGTACATTTCATATGACATTAAGTTCAAATTATGTAGATGGTCTGTTTATAGTTCTGTAGCTTTGGGACGACATTTCCGCACACGTTGCACACCTATGATGATATAAAGTCTACAATTTCAAATGGTGCACAGCCACACAACCTTGACCTATTGCACAAACCATTGTTACAAAAACTTTGATCCTAAATTAGGTACATTTCATATGACATTAAGTTCAAATTATGTAGATGGTCTGTTTATAGTTCTGTAGCTTTGGGACGACATTTCCGCACACGTTGCACACCTATGATGATATAAAGTCTACAATTTCAAATGGTGCACAGCCACACAACCTTGACCTATTGCACAAACCATTGTTACAAAAACTTTGATCCTAAATTAGGTACATTTCATATGACNCTTACTGCCATTTTTGGCGACCAAGAGATCAAGGGTTTTAGAGAAAAAGGTGAATGAAACACAAGTATCAAAAACTGTGTTCAGCCACCTTAAATTTTTTAGTCCTCTATTCAGATTGCACAAAACCAAAACTACTGGTAATCATCATCACCGTGATCTTCATAAGCACCACAAGCATGGTACCATCACCATTACTCATCAAGCCCAATCCTAATGTCAAAGTGATGCTGTGGGTTGACCTAGCTTGAATCTCGCAATCCTGAATGGCGACATGTCATAGGACGGCGTTTCATTCATGGCTAGTTGCGCCAGAATCTTGCCACTGACTGGGCCAAGCTTAAACCCATGAGCTGGGAAAAACAAATGAACAAGAACAAGAGTGAGGAACAGCCAAAGAGCTAAAGTTATTGTGCAATGTAACTAAGGCTGAAACTCATTCAGAGTTTAAGGTGGATCTTACTTTTCCTCTCCATAAGGGATGGCAAATGGTCCAAGAAAAGTAATCCCACAGAAAGTTAGTCAAATTTCAGCTATTTAGAGACTCACCATCTGAAATTCTTTATTTCTTTTGCAAGGCCAAAATAATGAGTCTCAGATCCATAGAAAACATGTAGGTCTTTCCACCTTGTTAGTCTCAGATTTACCATTCACTACACATGCCTCATTATATACATTGACATGCTACTGTGTAATTACGCCACAAAGCAAAAAGCAAAGATTTATATATCTAAGGATTACATTCCACTGACCATGTTCTACTACCAATTTCTTGCCTAAATGCCACCTTTATATGTAGTTACACTGTATCTACCCAGCATTAATCCTCCTCATCGGACATTTTCCATGACTATGTAACTTGCGTCAGTGACTTCTTTCCCAGGATTTTTACCAACAACTTCACTAGCAGCAAAGCTTAAGCCTGGGTTTGAAACAATCCTTGTTGACTCAAAATGGAAGGCTTAAATAATACCTAAACTTATTCTTACCAGAAAAGCCAGCGCCAATGATAACATTTGGAAACTTGGGATGTTTATCCAACACAAAGTTCTCATCAGGGGTGAGCTAAAGTAAAGACCAAATGCAGGTTCAATTCAATTCAAAGTGCAGTTATACAGCTTAAAACCCATCACAGCTCATTAAAAAGAGAAAGATTGAGTTTACATGATCTGGTCCGGTTGTCCTCTAAGCTTTCGCTGGAGAATGAGGCATAATGCACTGCTTTGTTTTGGGGATTGTGCAACCCAGTGCACAACCCCCCAATTTGGCGAATTAGAATGTGGCTTTATCTATCCTCTCTCTCACAGACTAATCCAGGCAGCAGGTTATAAAGGCATACTGTGAGGATCTCATTAGGCAAAATTACTGAGGGGCGGTAAAGTTGACATATCCCATAGCCCTAGGGGATCCCTGGTGAAAATATTGCAAGAATCTTCAAAGATATTTACATGGACTCTTGCTGGATACTGCACACTTCTTGCAAAGATCCTGCAAAGGTTGTAAACATTCTTTCAAGGATCCTCAAAGATCCTGGCAAAATTGTGATCAAATCCTTGATGATCCTGATGAATTCTTGCAAAGATCTCTGCATGATTTTTGCTAGATAAGATCTTAACCAAGATCACAGTTTTAGATCTATTTACTAAGATTCTTAACTTGACAAATCTTTGAAGATCTCTAAAGAATAAGGACTGATCCTCTTAGATCCTGCAAGGTTTCTTACAAGTGAGAGTAATCTTTTCACACCCATTTGGCTTTGATACAAAGTTGATTGGCTCAATCAAACAGATCCCATTAAAATGTTTTTGAAGAGAACAAAGGCAGAAGTATCCAACACAGAATATCATGAAAACTAAGACCCTCATAAACTTTTGTTTATATAAGAAGGCCAAGAGCCACTCACCTGATTCACAGTAATTTCTCAGCAAAACTACTTTGCCAAATGTCTGTCAGCTGGAAATCATTATCTCAAGATTTGCGAAGACATCCTTAGTATTAATTCTGTTCCGTCAGTCACACAACCCTAGTCCCCAGTCGAGCAAACATTACACAGCATTAAAATTTTGTGAAATCCATAATTCCAGAGTTTACATTGGTCTATGTCTAAGATGGGGTAATCAGTTTTTGTTGCTCAAAAACTAATATGGGGTCCTAGTTAAACTAAGATGAGGTCTTAGTTTTCATAGTATGAAAACTAAGATGGGGACTTAAGGTCTTAGGTGTTAGTTTTTGAGGGTCTTAGTTTTCACGACACCATTTAACATACTGTATAAGTGCAAGCTTCCACTATAGCAGGCTCTCGATAATCCAGGTGAGGAAAGTGTTCCCGAAGGTATGTGCTTGTTCTTCGTATCTGCACCTCTACAAGGTCTCTGTGAATGTCCCTTGCATCTGGGTCAATCTCCCTGCGAATTTCTGGCAGTTTGCAAGCACCTGTAGGCCCAAACTACAAAGAAGAACAATCAACCATTATACCAAGACCAGTTTCAACCTTGTTAACTTGTCACTTTTACACTTACAGAGCCCCAGAAAATAACCAACTAAAGTTTTCTTGAATTAAGCTAAGTGAAACAACAGACATCTTCAAACTGGTATCATCAGTAAACTCCAGACTTCTGTGTTTAGTCCAAGGGTTAATTTTGACTTGCGACGTTCAAAACATATACAGGTCTATACAAGAAGCTACTACAGGTATTCCTATAGCTTCCCCAATCAGTCCTTGTTTTTCTACAATCATGTAACTTGATGATCAATTCAAATGACAGTTTATCTGAGACATGTTTATCCTAGGAATGTCTGGCGTTCCAATGATTTGCTGTAATTGATTTTTGAATATTTCATAATTAGAATAATAAATTATGTCCAGAACTGTTCCATGACATCCTGGCATCCAGCACTCCAACAGATCACATTTACAGTGATCTGTCATATTTCATGAATCAAAGTTGTTCATATTTTAAAGTTCCTTAGTGCAGATTTTGTATGCCAGATGTGAAAAAAGTTTAACTGATTTTTATACATGTACGGTACTCACAGATTGAAAATTGAGAACTGTTGATACACAACAGTTACATATAATGCTTAGGGAAGGCAGGTAAATGTACATACTAATGATGTAACTTATCATTTGCCTCACTAATGCAAGTTATAAATAAGAAAACATCTTTGTTAAAGGAGTCCAGTCACAGTCTTTTAAATTATTTTGGCCACATACAAAATAACCTTTAAATTGAAGGAAACCTGAAAATACTAGTTTACTAAGATATAAAAACACCAAAGAGATAATAATAAACTATTAAGGAACAAAGATCACTAAGGATGGAGAAGATTGACAACAATTACAAATGACAAACTTGAAAAAATGTAGGCTAAACTATTCAAGATGTGCAAACCATTACGTAGCTCCTTTAACAGGCTTGATTTTTACAAACCAAGAAGGAGCCCATGATCAAATTCTCCTAACACAAAAGTACTAAAAAGCATCAAGATCAGTTGGGGGAATTTGTACATTGACAGATCAGGACTTACCTTTACCATATCAGGGTACTCAAATGAAGGAATTGCATATAAGAGTCGGCCATCAGAAACTGTGCAGTCATGGAAAGTAGGAAACCCACTCTGCAGACTGTATGTACCAGGTTGTTTTGTCTTCCAATACAAAACTGGAGCTTTTGTTGGCTAAAAATTTAAACAAAGACAATTGGCAAGTAAATTTGTGGTCCCATGAAACACCATACACTACAGCCCCAAGGAAGGTCATTGGAAGTTCCAAGGGGAAAGAAGTTTTCTAAGACCACTAAATTTGAATATCCAAGGGAAGGGGTGCAAGACTTCAGACCAAAAACATATTCAATGGAAGGGGTGTGAATATTTTATGAAGCCATGCAAATGGCACAAAAATTTACATTATAAATATATTTCAGCCATGTTATTTTACCTCATACAGTCAACTTTCTCATATGCGGACACTCTTGGGAAATTGGAAAAAGTGTCCGTTAGTAGAGCTGTCTGCTTATGACAAGAATTATTCCCATAAACGGACACCAAGGAAAAACAGGATGGATCCATTCATGGTAGAGTTAATTAGCAGGTGTTAACTACATGTTTTATAGTGTAGACAAAAATAGAAACTCGAACTTTTCATTGCATTAAAGACAGATTTCACTGTCTGGAGTCAATTATTATACATGGGGTGTCCACTTACAAGATCTAGCATAAACAAAAGAAAAATTTAACTTTTTTCATTCTCAAAACTGTCTGCATCTGCTTGCGAGAGAGTGTCTATCTACGGAAATGTGTAAATACAGAGATTGACTGGGAGGTAAAAAGAGGAAATGAAAAAAGTGTCTATATGTAGAGCTGTCTGCTTACGAGAGTGTCTGTTAGTGGAGAGTTGACTGTATTTTCTTTGGAGTGGTGTGTTATCAGTTTACAAAACCATTTATCAAGGAACAAAAAATAAAATGTTCACTTATATTCATTCTAGACTAGTTCTGGTACTCTCTCTGTCAAGCAATGCTTGCATGACAGGGAGAAGGCGGAACTGGACTTTATTAATTCATGTCATATTCTTGCCATTTTGCTCTAGAGATAGTCCACAGAGAAACCTGAACCACTGGCTACGGCTTCAGTCATATCTGAGGGCGGGAAGTTATAATGGGGTAGAAAGTTAAATACAAAAAAGCAACTTTATTTGTGCATATTCAAAATTTTGTTTCTCTTACTTTGAGAGGCAAGGTAATTCCTAAAGGTTTTAGCAGTTTATTGGTCCATGGCCCTATAAACGTAAGACTAATATTAATACTATTTATTAATTACCATTAATAACTTACTGCATATAATTTAACTTCCAAGTGTACTTATTAACTTAATGTTATTCACTTTAGTTAATACTACTAGATTGTTGATCATTATATGGCTGTGTCTCACAAGGACTGGGAACTACCAAATTGAAGAATTTGATTGGCTGAAATCGATATTGAAAACAGTCTAGATTTTCCCATCTAGACCAGCATCTAGACCAGTAATGTTTTGCGGTGAAAAAGTTGCAAACTTCAATGCAAAAATGTTTACTATTTTCTTCTAACAATATATATTTATGGCAATGCCAAAAAGTATGATAAGAAAAGAAAAGAAAAGTAAAGAGGACGAGCAGACTTTGGCAGAATTAAGTTCAGCTCATCGCAGTTCGCAAGCAAAATGTCGGCTAGTACAAACCAGTTACACTAAACAAATTAAATTTCTTGTGCTTGACATATAATAAACATCTTATTAACCGAGCTTAGCCAGTCTGTATGGGAGAATCTTGACCTCAGTCATGAGTACAGACCTCGATCACAGCGTTCGGTCTGTACTCTCGACCTTGGTCAAGATTCTCCCATACAGACCTCCTGCTCAGATAATAAGAGCTAAGTAATGCAAGGAAAGCCAACTTGGAGTATAATTTGTGTGATCATCCAGGTGAGGGTAGTTCTGAAAAGAACTGTTGTTGGTGACTGACGTTTCGACAACCTGAGCAGAAGTCATCTTCAGAGTCAAGTGAA